GAAAAACCACATTCTCATGTTTTTTTATAATCTTTTTAAAGTGAAAAACACATTCTACGTTTATTATATACTTTGGATATAGAACTGCTTCTCTTACAGCTAGTCGTTTTAATTATATGCCTTAATTACAATGTTAACTCTTAGTAACTCTAATTTTCAGTGAAAAACCTAGGGAGTAAGCAATTTGAGTTGTTATATGCCAGACACAGAGTCCAGGACAGAGGACAGAGCTGTGAAGTCAATGTCTAGGGGATGAGATCCTTCCAGGCATGGAAGAGGCACAGCTGGGGCAGAGAGGATGAGGCCCAGGCGGTGGGGACACATCTATGTCCCCAGTCCTCACCATGACCACTTGTACAGATCCCAGAATCCAAAGGTCAAAATCAAAAGATAAGCTCATAAACAAATCAAACAAATGCTAAAATATCACAGAAGTCACAGTTATATGACCCTAAAACATCCCATAAGGGCGATCACGAGGTCAAGAGATCGAGACCTTCCTGGCCAATATGGTGAAACCCCGTCTCTACTAAAAATACAAACAAATTAGCTGGGTATGGTGGCGCGCGCCTGTAGTCTCAGCTACTCGGGAAGCTGAGGCAGGAGAATTGCTTGAACCTGGGAGGCGGAGGTTGCAGTGAGCCGAGGTCGCGTCACTGCACTCCAGTATGGTGCCTGGTTGATGGAGTGAGACTCTGTCTCAAAAAAAAAAAAAAAAAAAAAGACAGTATAAATTTGTCTGACCAGTACCCAGGCAAAAACGTCTTAAATTCTAAAAACATTATATTTTATTTTACCAACAATCTTAAAACTAGTGTTACTTATGAAAGATAACTAATGTCATATGAACTTGAAAAGCATTTGGGTTTATTAATTTATGAGTATTCATTTATTTATAAATCAATTTGGTACCATGTAGACAATATATACGGACATGTACAAATAAAATACAGACAGACACGAAGTTATTATAGCATTGATTTTAAATTTTCAGTCATGAGTCAGGTGAAATTCACTGGTTGGACAGTTGGGTAAAATGGTGACTCTGTAAATGGAACAAGTTAATCCATTTTACATGGTGGAAGCCCTTACTAAGTTTTAGAGAGAATGGGTAGAAAATTTATATCTCAAAGCAGAGAGAGAACTTAAGCTATTTCAAGATAGAAACTGAGTTTGTTATTTAGAGGAAGATTGAAAATGGGTGTCGAACACAAAATCGTTAGAATGCATCATAGGATTATTATTATTATTATTTTGAGAGAGAGAGGATCTTGCTCTGTCACCTCGCTGGCATGCAGTGGTGCATTCATGGCCCACAGCGGTCTTGCCCTTTCAGGCTCAAATGATCCTCTTGCCTCAGCCTCCCAAGTAGCTGGGACTACAGGCATGCACTACCATGCCTGGCTAGTTTTTCTCTCATTTTTTTTGTAGAGACAGGGTCTTACTATATTGCCCAGGCTGATCCTGAACTCCTAGAGTCAAGTGATCCTCCCACCTCGGCCTTCCAACCTGCTAGGATTACAGACATGAGCCACCACGTCAGAGCATCATAGGATTTTATAAGAAGGCCAAATTCATTTAGATAGGTAGCTTCTAATTTATTCTCTGTTTTCCAACTGGATCACGGAGCTCAGAGTGGAGCTCATCAACAGATAGAACCAACAAAGCCTTTGAGGTTTGCAGGTGCTAATATTTAAATGTATGAAAAGTAGGTGCAGCTGGAAGGCAGATCATTTAAATCATTAAAAATCAGGGATCTCACTTTTACAACAAGTCCCAGGTCCCCCCAAAGAGGAACCAGGCTGTCCAGTGCTTCCACAGTGTACTTGCTGCAAAGACATTTCCCTGAGGTGGGTGGGTGACCCAATCCGCCTACTCTGTGATCAGCCTGTGCCCCATGGGAGTCCTGTCCTTTGGTGGTGAGTGTTCCTGCTGTCTCCATGTGTTCAAGCTGTGTCCTTCTTATCTAAACGTGCAAAGAAACAAGTAGTCCTCTGCAGTAATAACCAGCCATTGCAGCTGCGGTCAGCCACTTGCAAAACTGCAGCCCTCACAGGTGACTTTCTGGCCACTGTACACCCAAAGATTGTGCTCTTGTATAGTACAAAGTAACCCCTGTATTCCCTAAAGCCAAAGAGATCAGGTAACTAGCAAATGAGAGCAATTTTAGACTGGGGAGAAAACTGCCCCTAAATCTTGAGACTACCAAGGAGGACAGGAGACCCCGAAAAGAGGGTGTGGGGTCTTCTGTCTCCCTTTTTGTGTGTTCCTCGTGGGGTCTCAGAGACACTAGAAATCGCCTCTAGCTTTCTTTATGAGGTACCAAAGATGCCAAAGAGGAAGGAGAAGTATGAGACAACAATTTGGGGAGATTTTTAGCTTTCTAAAATGCCAATGAAGTTTGACATTTTTCTCAGCAAAAGTCATACCAACAAGAAAAGGAACAAACAGAGGGACCAAATATATTAAAAAGGGGTTTTAATCAACTACAAAACTTCCCAGCAACAGGATCCAGAGGAGAAAATCGAGAAGGCTTTTTAATTTTAAAAAACAGTAACCTGAATACTAGCTTTTAATTAAGCTGACTTCTGAGTACAGAGTCCTTTAAAAGAATTTTTAAAAATTTGTTATCAGATTTCAGCCAGGATACCCGATATTCTTGGCTTTTGAACACTTTTTTTTTTTTTTTTTGCTTTTAAACAAAAGGTGCCTTACCAAGTGACTCACCAAATCAATAAGCCTCCATCAAGATTACAACTTGACCAAGAATGTACTAGGCAACTCCAAAGAGGCACAAATCAGTCTTCACAAGATCCAGAACCACCGCAAAGATATAGCTCAAAGAAAGGAAAGTTTAACCAGCCACGAACGGGGCCCAATCTGTGTTTCTGTCCTGCCATATTCTGTAGGGCCTCAGTCTCTCAGCTGATCATCTACACACAAAGGTCCAGACGCCCCACATGCCTGAGAGATGGGACACAGGAAATCCAAAGCTGTCCATGGAAAAAAAGGATCAATAACAAATGAGTGCCCACAAAAGTCAAAAGTTATGTAAATAATTTCCTATGGTGTACTTATTCCGTTAGTGACTAAATTTAATACACCTCTTCATGGAAAGCCCAGGAAGTAATTTTGCAGATTTGGAATAAGTTTCTACCATGTAAGTAAGTGGTGTTCCTGGTGTAAGTCCAAAAGTTTCTGAGACACGTCTCAATCTGTTTAGAAGTTTATTTTGCCAAGGCTAAGCACATTCCTGCGACAGCCTCAGGAGGTCCCGAGAACATGTGTCCAAGGTGATCAGGCTACAGCATGGTTTTATACATTTTAGGGACACGTAAGACATCAATCAATACATGTAGGATGGATGTTGGCTTGGTCCAGAAAGGCAGGACAACTCGAAGCAGGGGGCTTCCGGGTCACAGGTAGAGTCAAAGATTTTCTGATTAAAAATTCATTGAAAGAGTTTATCTAAAAACCTGTGCTCAGTGGAAGGGAGTGTTTGGGTTACAACAAGGAGTTGTGAAGACCAAGGTTCTTATCAAGCAGATGGAGTCTCCAGGTAGCAGGCATCAGAGAGAATAGTAAATATTTCTTATCAGGCTTAAAGAGTCTGTTTTGTCAGTATTAAGGTCTCTGTTTTATTGTCAATGCTGGCCAGTTGTGCCTGAATTCCAAAAGGGGGACCGTATAATGAGGCGTTCTGACCACCCATTCCCATCGTGGCCTGAACTAGTGTTTCAGGTTTCCTTCATTTATTTATTTTGAGACAGAGTCTCACTCCGTCACCCAGGCTGGAGTGCAATGGCGTGATCTCAGCTCACTGCAATCACCGCCTACTGGGTTCAAGCCATTCTCCTGCCTCAGCCTCCTAAGTACATGAGACTACAGGCATGCACCACAACACCCAGCTGATTTTTGTATTTTTAGTTGAGACGGGATTTCACCATGTTGACCAGGCTGGTCTTGAACTCCTGACCTCAAGTGATCCACCTTCCTCGGCCTCCCAAAGTGCTGGGATTACAAGCATGAGCCACCGCACCTGGCCTCTGGTTTACTTTAGAATGCCCTTGGCCAAGAGGAGGGGTTCATTCAGTTGGTTGAGGGGCTTAGAATCTTATTTTTGGTTTACAATGGAGAGGGCATGGAAGAGGCAGTCCCCATGATCTCCAAAAATTCACTCCAAGGTTTAGGCTAAGATAGCAAACGGCTCTTGCCACAGATGGTTAAGGATGGTGTTTGTGCGTATGATGTCCCCACAAACATGTGGGGTCTGCCAGTCACATACCTGTTAATCTGTGACACCAAGCAGGCCCTCCTGGGATTGGGCTTCCCTAGGACTAACCAGACAACAGGCGTTGTGACAACAAAAGCCCTTTATGGATGGGACGTTTTATTAAGAAAAATGAGAGCTTGACACCTTTGGCACAAAAAGCCTGCTGTTCAATATTGTGTGCATCTCAGTTCCCAGCCATTTTCAGACTAGCCACCAGATATGACCCGAAAATCATGCCCCCTGGATAGCGGAGACCAAGAGATGGTGCTCCTGCTTGGTCACAAGTCAAGCTCTCAAGGACATAAAACAAGGTGAGAGGGAACCTTATCCAGTTTTATTTTGGGAACTCACAGCAAAATTGAAATTGGTCTTAACTGCTGGTCTGATGCGAACCATGAAACTGACCAGTCTATATGGCTGTTTCTGGAAATGGGTTTGGGTCTAAACCCCGAGAGGTGTTCAAGAAAGAATCTGGAGCAAGTCCATAGAGTCAAATGAAAGCAAGTTTGCTAAGAAAGTAAAGGAATAAGAGAATGGCTGGCTATTCCATAGGCAGAGTAGCAGTGTGGACTGCTCAACTGAGTATATTTATAGCTATTTCTTGATTTTATGCTAAACCAGGGGAGGACTATTTATGAGTTTTCCAAGAGTGCAGTGGAGATCTCCTGGAACGGAGGGTCTCTCTCCTTTTTAGACCACAGGGTAACTTCCTGACATTGTCATGGCTTTTGTAAACTGTCATGGCGCTGGTGGGAGTGTCGGTGCCATGAGAGTACATATTAATGTATTATAATTAATGTATCATTCACCGGTGCCATGACAATACATATTAATGTATTATCATTGGCATATCATGAGCGGTGAGGACAATCAGAGGTCGCTTTCATCGCCATCTTGGTTTTAGCCGGCTTCTTTACCGCATCCTGTTTTATCAGCAAAGTCTTTGTGACCTGTATCTTGTGCCGACCTTCTATCTCATCTTAGACTCATCTAAGAATGTCTAAGCTTCTGGGAATGCAGCCCAGTAGGTCTCAGCCTTATTTTACCCAGCCCCTATTCAAGATGGACTCACTCTGGTTCAAACGCCCCTGACTGGGCCAGCGCAAGCAACAGGCCTGTAGAGGTTTTGGGCCTGTGTTCTATTCGATGGTACATTTCCTTATAAGAGAACAACACAGAAAGAACAAAACAGAGAAAAAGACTATTTCTGGGAGGAAAGGTCTCAAGCAAGATGTCTGTTCATACCAAAAAGCACAGAGTCACTATACTCAGGATTAGACACACAAATCCTTTTTTCCAATTAATCAAGATTTTGGAGAAGAAACAGAAAGAAATAGTGATTTTTAGCATCTGCTTAAGCAGCTTCCGCAGAGAAAGAGTGGGAGCCTGGCTGGTGAGAATTTCTTTCCTTTGTGCCGGCTGTTCAGGTGCTGGGTTCCTTTACTGTGGCTTCAAACAGAGACTTCGGTGACTCTGCTCACAGCACCAAAACTGTAGTTTTCCCTCAACCTCCGAAGGCTCACTGAAAATAAACTGACAAAAGGCAGCCAAATAGGAGGAAAGGCATGCACATTTTTTGGCACGCGTAGGGGAGAATCGCAGAGTGGTTACCCCACCACGCAATGGGTATATGGTTATATACCCTTTTTCTATTTTTTGGGTTTTATTTTTGTTATTGAGATGGAGTTTCACTCTTGTTGCCCAGGCTGGAGTGCAATGGTACAACCTTGGCTCACTGCAACCTCTACCTCCCAGGTTCAAACGATTCTCCTGCCTTAGCCTCTGGAGTAGCTGGGATTATAGGCATGCGCCACCACACCTGGCTAATTTTGTATTTTTAGTAGAGATAGGATTTCTCCCTGTTGGTCAGGCTGGTCTCGAACTCCCAATCTCAGGTGATCCACCCTCCTTGGCCTCCCAAAATGCTGGGATTACAGGCGTGAGGCACTGTACCTGGGCTGTGTACCCTTTTTCTTAGGGGAAAGCGGGATGGGAAAGTGTGGATGATTTTCAAGGGGGTGGTAAATGATTTTTAGGGGGAATTCAATGGGCATGGAGAGAATATAATGGCCTGGATTAAAGTCTGTGGGGATCCGCAGAGCAGACAATGGTTTGTGACATGTCTGTCCAAGTCGGCTGGCAGAATGCAGTCTTTCTTCCTGCGAAACGAGTTCTGTTAATGAAAACTCAGGGAAGGGACCAGAGGTTACTGTTTTCTTCTTTGGCAGTTCCAGACTTTAGGCAGAAAAGGGAACATCAGAGAAAAACTTCCTCCTGTGCTGTGGGAGAGATGGAAGATTGAGAGCCAGGAGGGAGAGGTCAGAGAGACCTGGAGGCGTTTTCAGTTCAGCATCATATTTTGGGGTCACCTGGGTGCAGTGGCTCACACCTATAAACCCAGCACTTTGGGATGCTGAGGCAGGTGGATCACCTGAGGTCAGAAGTTTGAGACCAGTCTGGCCAACATGATAAAACTCTGTCTCTACTAAAAATACGAACATTAATTGGGTGTGGCGGCACACACCTGAGATCTCTGCTACTCGGGAGGCTGAGGCATGAGAATTTCTTGAACCCAGGAGGCAGAGCCTGTAGTGAGCTGAGATCGTACCACTGCACTCCAGCTTGGGCAAGACAGCAAAACTGTCTCAAAAAAATAAAAAGCATCGTATTTTAGGGGATCAGTTTCTGAACCCCAACAGTGGCATTTGAAGTGGGCTGAAAAGAATGGTGAGAATTTGGACACCAGACATTGAGACTGCCTTTGCAAAGTCACGACAGTGAGAGAAATCTGACATGGTAGATGGACTCTGTCATGCTGCTAGCCTCACAGGCTGGCTGTCTTTGCTCATTCCTGGGCATGGACCAACCTAACTTTGGGAGGAATTCAGTTTAAAGTTTAAATGATACTAGCCTTCCCCCCAAACTGTTTTTGTAGAACAAATGAAAGGCTACCAAATTCAGAGGATGAGAGAGGCTTGGATTCTAAATAATTACCAGCCGTTATTCCAGAGGTCATAAGAGTTGCAACTTCTCCAATTAATCTTGCTGATATCATCATTATGGTAGAGCCTAAAATTGGCCTTTTGAGATGTCTTTCCAGGTTTTTGCATTTCTGATGATGATGGCTTCCCCTGAAGCTCCCACCCAGGAACTGACTCAGCACAAGAGAACAGATTCCATTCCTTACGATTCCATCTCCATCCCAACACTCAACATGGCCCCTACCCCAGGCCCCTGCTCCCCAAACTATCTTTGAAAAACTCCTGAGGCTTTGGGGAGACTGATTTGAGTAAATTACTCCACCTCCCACATGGCGTGGTCAGCCTCGTGTCAATTACACATGGTCTTGATGAATGTATTTTGTTCGTGTAGCGGGCAGGAAGAACCTGCTGCGCGGTTACAATATGATGTTGAGGGAAGAGACTCCTCTTTCCTGTCTGTGTCTCAGAGGGAGAGGAAGTAATTGTTGAGACATAGCAGGCATGAGGTCAGTGGCAAGGTTTGCTGGCACTGCTGATCAGGCCTGGAGGTTAAACATTAAGCCCTCACCTTTAATCATACTATCTGTAGATCACAGACATAGTATGGAGAAACACACTCCATTGTTCTCGCTCAATCTTGCTCAAACCCTCACCTGGCCGTGTACCCCTCACCTATGTCATCGATCACGACCCTCTCACACGTACTTTCTAGAATCGTAAGCCTTGAAAAGGGCTAGGATTTTCTTCGTCAGGGAGGTGGTTCTTAAGACGCAAGTCTGCCGATGCTCCCAGCCGAATAAAGCCACTTCCTTCTTTAAATCTGGTGTCCGGGAGGTTTTGTCTGCAGCTTGTCCTGCTACAATGGGGGCTGGGCATGGGCAATGGGCCCTGTGGGAAAAGCCCGGGATGGTATCCACATTTGCTGCTCTCAAGAAGGGTGACTGTGGCAAGTGGGTTGCATCTCAGAGCCCCAGTTGTTTTCACCTGTTAAATAAAAAGAGCCAAGGAACATGTTCAGAATAGCCCTACAGAACACCTGACACAAAGGTGGTAGCTTTTCAGAAGCAGGGTACCGCAGCACCAGGGGGCCTATGTGGAAGGTCTTTTATTCAGTCAACAAACTTTCATGGAGCCCTTGGTGTGTGTCCAGGGCCCTCCACTCACAGAGTTGACACTGTAATGGGCACTCATCTAAGGAGTCCAAATGGAGATGTGCAGGCAGCTTGGATTGGTTGGAAACCGGGGGTGCATGGATGGAGTAAAGGGGAATAATGTGGGACATAAAGGGGTTTGTAGTGGAGAGGCTTAAAAGCCTCAATAAGTTGTTTTGATTTCCCTCCACATACACCGGACAAGCAGCAAAGAGTGTAGGCTAGTGGAAAATCTGTCATCAGTGCAAGGTGAACTCCTTTCCCTTATCTCTTTGAGGGAAAGCTGCAAAAATTGTAACAGTGTAACTATGACAGTGAAAGAGATCTGATCTAACCAGCCTCCTTCTTGCTTTTAACCTCTAACTGCCCTTAATCACTCCTGGGCTTACGCTAAGCTAACTCTGGGAGACATTTAGTTTATAGTCTAAATGATAACAGCTCTTCCCCCCAAATCAACTGCCTTTGTAAGGCTAATGAAAGGCCACCAGATTAGGGGAATGACAGGAGCCTGAAGTCTGCTAAGGTAGACATAAATGATTACCAGCCGTGATTCTGGAGGTCACACGATTTGCAGCTTCTCCAATTACTCCCACAAATAACATCAGTATTGTAGAACTAGGATTGACCTTTTGAGATTTCTTTCCCCCTCCTTTTTTTTTTTTGAGACAGACTCTCACTCTGTTGCCCAAGCAGTGGCCTGATCTTAGCTCACTGCAACCTCTGCCTCCCAGGTTCAAGTCATTCTTTTGCCTCAGCCTCCCGAGTAGCTGGAACTACTGGTATGTGCCACCACACCCAGCTAATTTTTGCATTTTTAGTGGAGACAGGGTTTCACCATGCTGGCCAGGCTGGTCTCAAATTCCTGACCTCAAGCGATTCACCTGCCTTGGCCTCCAAAGTTGCTGGGATTGCAGGCGTGAGCTACCTTGCCTGGTACTTTGCGTTACTGACTTTGCGTTACTGACAATGATGGCTCCACCTGGACCACCTACTGGTCCTGTGGCCTCACCCAGAAGCAGATCATTTCCACACCCCTGTGATTGCATCTCCAACCAATCAGCAGCACCCATTCTCTGTCCTGCCAACCTGCTCTTGAAAAAACCTAGCATCTGAATTTTCAGGTAGGGTGATTTGAGTAATACTAAAGCTCCATTCTCCTGTTCAGCCAGCTCTGCATGAATTAAAGCATTTCTCTATTGCCATTTCCCTGTTTTGATAAATTGTGTCTATCTGGGCAGCAAGCAAAATGAACCCATTGGGTGTTTACACCTTCTTCCATCACTCCCTTCCCTCTTTCCTTCCTCCATCAACTATTCCTGTGCTGGCTCTGGGGTTACCAGACACAGGCTGCCTTCTCACTCCACATGGTGGAGGCAGATGCTAATCAAATAATCCCACAAATAAATGTGAAACATGTGAAATTGCAGTTCTGATTAGCAATAAAAGGAGAGGGAGCCTGGTGCAATGGGAATTCATAAGAGAAGGGACCTCACCTCCCTGAGAGGCTCAGAGAAAATTTCCAGTGAACACAACAACTGGGCAAAATTGGAAGGATGAACTGAGGAGCAAAGAAGGCTGGGAAAGGATTTCAGGTGGAGGGCATGGCAGGGGCAAAGTCTCCGTGGCTGAGAGATGCATGGTGAGCATGAGCCTCTGGAAGGCAGTGCTGGGGTTCTGGACACACCACCCCAAAATATGACTGTAGGAGATCAGAATATGCTATCCCCAAATATACCTCTTTGGCATAATGAATATTTTAAACTGGTTATTTTGAAAAACTGCAGACACAGAAGTAACTCTGAAAAGTTGGCCTTTTATAAGAGAAATTTTCATCAATAAAGAAAATCTCCAGTTGTAACTGACTGCATCAGGGAGAAAAAGCTGGCTTAATCACTAGAAGCCCTTCAATGATGAAGAAAGCAACGAATTCCATCTGCATAACAAACCCTGCCTTTGTTTAAGATGTTCTTCCTGGTCATCTCATCTTAAGGCTTTTCCTCAACAGTCTTTCTTCCCTTCATTTCAGAAAAATGATGGTACTTAAGCCTGAAGTTTAAGCTCTTTCTTCAACATCTCCGCTAGGGAGGGACTAATTTCTCTGAGTTTTCTCCCATGTACACAGGAGGTAATCCATGCTAATAAACTTCTATTTGTTTTTCTCTTGCTAATCTATCTTTTGTTATAGGGAATCCCAGTTCACAGTTATGAAAGGTAGAGAGAATCATTTTCCTCCCTATAATGGAGTGCATGGCAGAAGGTAAGGTTGGAGGAGTCAGATAACCCATACTCTTGGAGGTCTCTGTAGGGTAGAAATCTTTTTCTACCTGTAAACCAAAAATTAAATTCTAAGAACCCCCAGTCATCTGAAGGAACCCTCTTCTCAGCCAAGAGCATTCCAAAATTAACTTGAAAAACTACCTCATGCCATGATGGAAAGGAGTAGTGGGACATGCTTCATTATATCCCTCTCCCGTTTGAAATTTGGGAAAAGCCTACCAGCATAAACATCAACACAGACCTTAAGTCTGATAAGAAACATTTGCAATCTGTTCTCTCTGAAGCCTTCTACCTGGAGGCTTCATCTATATGATACAACCTTGGTCTCTACCACTCCTTATTACCATAAGGAGACATTCCTTCCTATTGATAATAACTCTTTTAACTGATTGCCAATCAGGAAACTTTTAAAATCTGCATATGACCTGGAGGTCCACACCTACCTTGGCTTTGAGTTGTCTCCACCTTTCCAGATCAAACCAATGTACATGTTAGGTGTGTTGATTGATGTGTTTCCCTAAAACTTATAAAGGCAAACTGGACCCCAACCACCTTGGACACATGTCATCAGGACCTTGGGGATTCACTCAGGGTGGTGGCAAAAATATTAAGGGAAAAATATTAGGGAAAGTTATAAAATATATTCTCAAACCCTTTGGAAGACCTAAAGGTTTTTTCTATAGTTTTTGGCTGAAGGCAGCCAGAGTCTCTGCAGGAGCCAGAAAGATTAGGGTGCAATAGCTAGGGTATGTGGGGGAGTTTATCTGAATAACTTGTTTACTCACATGGCCTTAAAACTAACCTTTGAGCCAGACGATCTTCTGGGGAGGAGGTCGATCAGGGAAATTACCCACTAATGGTGTTTGCTTTGGGCATTAGAACCTGTCCTTTAATTTCCTCACTCTAGTGGTGTTGACTCAGAGTTGTTGTCATTTAATGTGTGCTTAATAAAGGTCAGAGAAGCCAGTGTGTTGGGGCCGGTGACTGCTGTCTCTTTCCAGCACCCTCAAGGGAGTCTGTAAGATGCCTGGACACTCAGTTGAACTAGAAAAGCATAATATCTGTGTGTCAGTGTACTTTATTCATCCGTCATTGAGTCAGGGTCTGCAGGACAGAACCCTGCAGGTGGTGGCCTGGACAGTGGCGCCCAACATGGGATGACCTCAACACAGGGCTTCCTGCAGCTGTGCCATGGGTGCATCCTTAACCTTGGCAAAATTAAATTTCTAACTGGATCGCGACCTGTCTCATATATGTTTGGGTTCACATATCCATCGCTAGGTACATGGCTGAGGCCTCTATAACTAAAGACAGGTTAACAAGAGAAAAGCATCCAAATTTATTTAATGTAAGTTTTACATGAAATAAAGACCCAAAGAAATAGTAAGCTTATGTATTTAAAAAGTGACTAGTTATAGAGAAGTACAATTAGATTAAAAAATGTATGACCTAATGGTAATAACCTGGGAGGAACTTAGCAAGGCCTGTTTATTCAGATTCTTCTCCCTGTCCCAGTGTCATCATAGAAAAGCATGTTATTTTCCCCTTTTGAATGAAGATCTTTTTGTTCCTGTTTTTGAGAAAGGGCGTTGCTCTGTCACCCAGGCTGGAGTGCAGTGGTGCTATTACTAGAAAAGGTTCCTGATCCAGACCCCAAGAGAGGGTTTTTGGATCTCACCCAAGAAGAATTAGGGGTGAGTCCACAGAGTAAAGTGAAAGAAACTTTATTAAGAAAGTAAAGAAACAAAAGAATGGCTACTCCATAGACAGAGCAGCCCCAAGGACGGCTAACTGGCTATTTTATGGTTATTTCTTGATCAAAGGCTAAATAAAAAGTGGATTATTCTTGAGTTTTCCAGGAAAGGGGTGGGCAGTTCCCAGAACTGAGGGTTCCTCCCCCTTTTAGATTATCTGAGGTAACTTCCTGGACATGGCCATGGCATTTGTTAACTGTCATGGTGCTGACGGGAGTGTCCTTTAGCATGCTAATACATCATAATTAGTGTATGATGAGCAGTGAGGAGGACCTGAAGTCACTTTTGTCACCATCTTGGTTTTGGTGGGTTTTGGCTGGCTTCTTTACTGCATCCTGTCTTGTCAGCAGGTTCTGTATGACTTGTGTCTTCTGATACTGGTCCTGCCGACCTCCTATCTTCTTCTGTGACTTAGAATGCTTAATTTCCTGGGAATGCAGCCCAACAGGTCTCAGCCTTATTTTACCCCAGGGGTGACTCAAGATGGAGTTACTCTGGTTCGAATGTCTCTGGCAGTGCTAACACAGCTCACTGCAACCTTGACTTCCTGTTCTCAAGTGGTCCTCCTACCTCAGCCTCCTGGGTAGCTGGGACTATAGGTGCATCCTACTGTGCCTGGCTAATACTAAAAATAATGTTCTGTAGACATGGGTCTCACTGTGTTGCCTAGCCTGGTTTTGAACTCCTGGCCTACCTCATAACTCTCCACCTCAGTCTCCCAAAGTGCTGGGATTACAGGTTTGAGCCCACTGCACCTGGCCTTGAGTGAATTCTTATGAATAACTTTAGGGGAAGGTCAGAGAGTCCTTCGTAGGTGGTATGGCCTGCTTCAGGGAAGAATGGCAGGGGGAAGATGAGAATGACCTTTCTACTTTTGCCATTTCCCCCGATATCTAGATGCCATATTTAGGGGTGGCATGTCCTGAACCCCATCACCATGTTTGTGGTTTTGCTTTTATCTGAGAGCAACAAGAAGCTCTGGAAGGACTGAAGTGGAAGGGTGACACCATCGGATGTGTGTTTGTGGAGGTCAGTGATGCTGTGGGGAGGGCGGAGTGGAGGTGCAAGAGTGAAAGCAGTTTGGGATGTCTTAGCTTGGGATCATTAAAAAGCTGAACTGAGGTAAGGACTTGGGTGCAGGTAGCTCATTTGGGAATAATCTCTGGGAGCAGAAGTGAAGAACCATGGATTTCTGGGATGCTGTACCCAGCAACAGGGGCTCCATTCTGCTAGGACCTTCTGAGAAGCAACACAAGGCCTCCCAGAATTGCCCTTCCACCCTAAATGGGAGACCAAAATACTAGACATCACTCCTGCCTTCGCTGGTGGAGGATCGCCCCCGAGAGTGTTCATCTGTGGGCTGTGTAGAAGCACAGCACCAACCCCCACCCCAACAAAAAAAACAGAGGAGTCTTAGGAAACACGGGAAGACAAATATGGCACACAGGTGAGACCAGACCACATCAGATTGCAGTGAATTAAATCCTGCAGGGAGCTGCTTCGGGAAAGAATGGCAGGGGGAAGGTGAGAATGACCCCTCTTGAGTGAGGGTCTTTTTGTTTCTTTTTTTGAGACAGGGCCTTGCTCTGTCACCCCGGTTGGAGTGCAGTGGTGCTGTTACTGGAGAACATTCCTGATCCAGGCCCCAAGAGAGGGTTTTTGGATCTCACCCAAGAAAGAATTTTGGGTGCATCCACAGAGTAAAGTGAAAGGGAGTTTACTAAGAAAGTAAGGAAGCAAAAGAATGGCTGCTCCATAGACAGAGCAGCCCTGCACTCGAGCCAGGGATGTAATCAGAGGAGAAGCCGAGAGGATGAGAAGGGAAGGAGGAAGTGTCTGACATCTGTGAGGAGGCTACTGTAGTCACCCAGGTGAGCGAGGAAGGTGACATAGTCTAGGGTGGTGGCATGGGAGACGGGGCAGTGGGTGGATCCCTGAAATGTTTAGGAGTTAAATCAACAGGTCTTGGCGATGGATTTTGTTAAGGGTGGTGCTCTTCATTAAGAAAGAGAATCTTGGAGGAGGACCGGGTACCGGGGCAGGGAATGTGGGGGATGCTTGGGAGTTCAGGGTCACACGTGGTGGTCTGGAGGTGCCTTTGAGACATCCCAGAGAAGGAGTTGAGCAGGAGCTGCATACAGTATACGGGTGGGGAGCTTCAGGGAGAGGTCCAGGCTGGAGCCATAAAAGTGTGAGTCATCAGAGTCTGGGTGGAAATGAAGCCATAGGTGAACATGAGATCACCGGGAGAGGGAACAGGGTGGGAGGAGCCTCCAAAGAGAGCAGTGAGAGGGCTGGTCTCCCCGACGGCCACCTGCAGCCCCCTCCCTCCTCAAACCTGCCCCCCCCCCAGGTGCCCTCCTCACGGCAGGGAGTGACATTGCGGCACTAGTGATTCTAATTGAATATAATTGTCTTCTCCAAGTTGCGCTAAAACCTTTTCAAAGTCCCCTGAAATTAGGGAACACGGATAACACAACTCCTCGGGGTTTTAATCTGTGTCCTCCCTGAGAACGGTGATTAATTTTTTACAAGCTAATCATATCTCTTAGGCAGGCTGTCAGCAGAGGGCCCGTCATCTCTCATCAATAATGGAGCGATCCCAGTGCCCGCGTCTCCCAGCAGCCTCCTGCATAATTCACCAGGAGGGCTTCAAACAAAGAAGCTGGGGGGACCAGGTCCTCTTAATTGGTGTCCTTGGTAATTATCCACAGGGGCTGGGAGGGGTGGCGAGGGGCGGGAGGGAAAGGCAGGGGATATAAAAACTGATTGATGAGCTCACATCTGGCTCCCCTTTTTAGCATGCTCTCACCTGCCTCTGCCATCTGTCCGTCATCTCCAGCCAGCCTGCCCCCTTCCTCTGGCTAACTCATTTGTACCCCTCTCGCTCTGCTCCCTGCCCTTCACCGCCCCCTCATTTCTTCCTTTCTGGGACACTACTCCATAGGGTCTTCTGGCCAGATTCTGCCCTCTGGCCGTGCACCATCATGCCACAAGGCAGGGGAGGAACCATGGCCTCCGTTTGACAGACGAGTAAACTGAGGCTCAAAGAGGGAAAGTGACACGCTCGAGGTCACCGAGCAAGTCAATGACAGTCAGAACTAGACCTACAGTTTGGTGTCTCCCAGATCTGTGCTCCTTCCCCCCAGATCTCAGGGCAAGTGAGCGACAGATCACCCCATTCCTGCCCCAACAGTGACGGGGCCCCCTCAGTCCTGCCCCAGTTGTGTGCCTACACTCGGACGCTGAAGAGGAAGCTGCTGTTCTCTTCCTTATCAACCCCAGTCCAAGCCTCCTCCTGGCCTTACTGCCCCCTTACGGAGCTGGCCCTGGCTTCTGTTGCCCCTCGCGGATATATCTCTGAGGCCAAACATCAGAAGCAAACAGTGGCCAGATGTCATGAGCTGGGAGAAAGTGAAACGAGACAGAAACAGAAGACGGCTTCCCTCTCTCCTTGGCACCATTACACAGGCCTGCTCCCACTGGCCGATTGGGCAGACTCCAGCGACAAGGGAAAGTCCTGGAGCCTGCAGCCCAGTTTCTTGCATCCAACACTCAAGAAAATGTCCTGAGAGGGTCAGGAGCTAAGATGTAATCCTGAGAAGCGAGAGCAGCAGGAAGGAGGACTCTGAGTCCAGTGCTCTTTTCTGCCATCGCTATCTAGGGAAGGAAGATCCTGTCCTTGGGAGGGATCCCTCTTTCTATGCATGGCTCAGGCAACTGGGCTGGTCCCAGGGGCTCCCTCCACATCTATGGGTCAGTCCCAAATCTGGGTCTCTGGCCTGACTGTGTGCCAATGCAATGGCTGGGCCTGCTCCCTGGCGACCTAACTCAACCCATCAGAAACTCCACCCACTTCCCTCGCTGCTCCCCACACCCTTGTTCCTTTGTCTCATTTCTGAGTCATTGCTAAGGTAAGCCATCATCACATTACAGTGTACTTGGGACAAGGGGGTTTCAGGGACACGGCACCTTGTTTTAAAGTCAGGACTGTTCCAAGCAAGCCAGGATAGCTGGTCACCCTAGTGTCCCCTTTCTTCCAAGCACCTGGACTGAAAATTTCACCATCAGAGAGAGACAGTTCTGGAGGTGGGAGGAGAGGAACTTCCTCCTGGATCTGCAGCCTGGCTGTCCCTCCCCAGGGCTGGCGGACCTTCGGTAGGGTCCCTATCGCTTCCACTGTTGACTCATCTGAAACATATGTAATAATAATAAAAAACAATGTTGCAAGAGAGTTCTGAGGAGGGAGTGAGCTCGCATGTGAAATTGACTCAGCACAGCCCCTTGGCACATGGCAATCGATCTCACGACGATCGAACCTGGCACCCTCTAACTCCACACTCACCACATTCAGTGTGTGGCCAAAATCTGCCAAACTCATCAGGCTTTCCATCACCTGCAATTACGGCCTCTATTTCCCAGGTGGGAATTCAAGCCCTGGTGCCTCAGGCCTAACCCTCGCCAAGGCTTGCAGCCTCCCTGCCCGTTCTGTAGGAGCCCCCAGGCTCAGCCTGGAAGGACAGTTCCCTGACTCTGCCTCCCACTCTTCAGCTGTTCCTCTCCTCACTCTGTTATACACATTTCAGATCCAAAACAGAAGTTCAGAGAGGTGAAGTCATTCACCAGAGGTCACACAGGAACTTAGGGACAGAGCTTGGAAAAATAGGAGAATGGATTTGGGAGTCAGATCTTGACTAGTACCTCCCCCGAAAGTGACCTCTACGTCCTATTCATCTTCCCAAGTCTCAATTTTTCCTTTAAAAAATAGTGATCCTAAAACCCACTTCCTAGGGTCTTGGGAGGATGAATGATACTTTCTCTGCCTGGGACTCAGCAGGTACTTGATAAAGGCTGTGGTTGTTACTCTCTATATTTGAGCAGTAGGTTCTTACGTGCTTTCTGCTCAGTGACTATTTCCTGAGCCCCTATCAGTTTGACTCAGTGAATAGTCCAGGTCCTTTGTTGGGAGGTTCCAGGGGCAAGGGTGTGCCACTCAAAACACAGCCTGGCCTTCCTAGGGCTACAGAGCCAGGCAGAGAGGGGTCTGAGCGTCCTGACTTCCCTGCAGCACGTGTGACCTTGATGAGGATGTGCTGACTTGGGCCAGAGGTCAGCATCTGCACCCCAGCCCAGGACAGAAAGGACAACTGTGGATGAAGAAAGGCAGGACCTCGACTCACCGTCCATCACAGCAGGCAGGTCCTCTGTCCCCTCCTGGTCTGGCTCCATCAGGTGCCTGCGAATTAACTTCAGGCCGAGGTGGCTCCACAGGCAGAAGCCATGGTGGAGGCAAGGAGAGACAGTGCCTTTAATGCTGCTCAGATTCCTGGTTCCTGGCGAAAATGCTGCATTTGCATTTAAATGGAAGTTTGGAAGTCTG